CTAAACAATTTTGTATTATGTTGGCAAATACTTCCATGATAACACGGTGGACACAGGCAAACAAAATCGTTTGGATCATTCAGATCACCATGCACGCATTGGCCACCAGCAAGACATCGACCAGCACCACTACATTCATCTAGCCTACTATCATAACGTGAACATTCAGCTCTGCCATATATATCACACAAACAAAAGTAATTATCGTCATGAAAACACAAGAGGGAATATGGTGCATGACATAATAAATGATATTTAAAAATCATGATTGAAGCGTTGAAATTGCTGGAATTTGTATCCTTTAGAATAAAAGCTAAAACAAAAATCATAAGAAATTAACTTCGTGCTTCAGTCCATAGGCTTCAGTCAGTAAGCAGTTTTATCGTGTGATGCCGACATGTGGTCTTTTTGGTCAAGAACGGTTTTTTTTGGCGAAAACGATAGACTATCACTCAGAAAACCTGACGATAACAAAAACCGTTTCTTCAAAACAAATCTTTTCGACGGTAGACATTTTCTGGAAAACTGACAGCTCGGCATTGAGCATTTTCGAGCGTTCACTATACATGTAGCGTGTGTAGACGAACATTTCTATATAGTTTTGAGTCACACTCAACTTGAGCTATCTCATCGCATTGAATACACTTGAAAAAATAAGTTAATTTCGGTAAATTCATGTTTCCTCCAAAGTTACACTTCCCCAATTGAGAAGCTTTTCCATCAATCAACAGCTGAACGAGTCCAGATTTAGAATCCATATTGTTCTTCATATTTATCATTGATCAATGTAACAAAAAGATCTTTTTTTCTTGCTTTCTGCAGCAGTATTCAAGTTCCATCAATTCCGGAATTTTGCTTTTTTTCCGGACGTTTCTTTCTCACCATAAGAACTTTACCCCTTGAATAAAGTTTAGTTTTAGAAAAAGATAGTACGTCCATCTTCAAGAGAATGTTCGTCATTCTCACAGGGATTTTACTTAATAATACGAAATGTTCACCCAGTGATGCATAAAAACATGAAAGTTTATTATTACGCAACAAACTTTCAAAGTTAAACCTGAGCTCTTTACGTCGCTCCGTTATGGAGAATCCTGCAGCTATGAAGTCGTGTGAACGCGAAGTTCCCTTTTCACACAATGTGGCGCTAGAGTACGATGCATATTTTAAGGCTTCCATTTAAAATTCTTATTACGTTAGGTCGAAGCATTGGCTAGAGTGGGGCAACGTCTCAGTTTGATCAAAACTATTTGCTCTACAACCGAGTTGCTTTCAAGCTACTTTTTCTCTCGATTTTGTATTGATAACACACGATTAGTGAAGCTTAAGAGAGTCGCTATGTCACCGCTTTACTTCTGTTTATCTAAACAAGCCAAAAAAACGCTTACCGGACGCTAAACAATTAATATTAGTGAGATTTTTTTGAAATGCTGTTTGAGTATGTGTACAATAATTTGTCACATGAACCGCTGATGTTAAATTCATATTTGATGTGTTTGATAATGTAATATACAGTAAGAAATATTTCGGTTCCTTTAGATTCGCTCCAAAATCATTTGTCAATTCTTGCTTGTGGTATAGTTTCATAATGCCCAGAATTGGTAGATAGTGGTGGGTATGTACGATTTGTGTTGATAGTGGTGGCTCACCTTGATAAACTCGTTTCTCTCGTACAATCAAGTCAAGTGTCTCGGTATCAAGATCACAGAGTTGGATGACTGTTGCTATTATCCAATTCGACGGATTTTGAATGAATGAAAGATCTGTGAACAAGATATTCACGGTTGCTGACTCATACTGACAATGATCACCGAAGTATTTTCTATCGCATACACAAAAGTAATCTCTTGTCAAATTATCCGGATTAACATGACACTTTCCACGATGATTACCACCACATGGGTTTTTATTTACACATGTATGATTCAAATGACATGTTGGACCAAAATGATTGATTAAACACAGACAAATCGATTTCAATTGAGAAAGCGACCGATGTAATGCTTTCGTGGAACAATCGTTTGGTAGTGGCGATAGATATTCGCAATGTTTACCGTATGAATTTAAGGTGCAATAACAGTAATATGCAGATGTATCGTTAATTCTGTTCATTAGTGGATAGCACATACTATTGCTTAAACATGGATTGGCTTTTTGGCAAATGTGATTTACTAAAAGACCTTGGTTTTCAAATTTCAATATTTTTGCTAAGCGATATGATGGTAGGAAATTAAACTGAACTGGATATTGCCAAATACCGAGAAAGTTGTTTGTTGGCGTTGACACTTTATGATTAAGCAGATATGCTTCAAAACGAACTTTGTAGCTTGACGACGAAACTTTTGGACGTGAATAAACGAAACTGAATCGAAATTTTTTATCATGATCATTTGTTAATGCTAATGGTAAATGGAATTCATGGTAATCGAGAATTTCTTCATATAATAATAATAGACATAATATTTTAATTGTAATAGTTGATTTTTGTTCCAGTAATTGTTGTGGAATATTATCGAGGCTTACAATGACGGTTATACGATCACTAAAATACTGACAATATTTACCATACAAACTTGATGGACAAAAGCAGACTGTTGTATTGTCATTAACGTCATTTTTCTTGAGGGCAGCAATACCACGATTACAAATCCAGCCAGTTTTCCCAGTATTGTCATTTTCAAGATCTTGTACAGCATTTTGTACTTGTAGTGTTTGCCTCACATCAACATGTTCAGCAGCACTAAACATAAAATACAGAATACAATAAGTTATTATTGAGTTACTTTTGAGCGGAAGAAGATAAAGGCACGTGGTCTTACTAACCAATAGTCAAGATGACCTGTATGGAAATATCAAGTTCAAATTGCCATATGCATGTGATGTTCCTTATCGATCTTTGAAAAACATGGCTGTTGCCAGGCCATGTAGATACAACGAATTTCGATTTTTATTATCATCTTTAGATAGTCCAGACATCACTCTACAAGTTACAAAGATGGACTAAATTTAGTCTACGTCTGGACTTAAAAAGAATTTCTTTGAGTGGAGCTGCACTTATCTTGACGTGAAGCCTGTAGCCAACTCTGACTGTACATTAACTAGACTTTGCAATCGAGTAGATGAGTTTTCCTCAAAATGGTACAAACACTGTTTTCAAATTCATCTGCCTTCCCGACAGGTGTCATCGACGTCTAGAACAAGGCCGCGTGTTTTCATGTCTTTCGCGATTTTCTTCACCATCATTCAGTGTTATTCAAAAAGTCAATAATTAATCCCAAACTAGTATCAAATTTATAATCGAATGACATATCATACAAGATAGCTGGGGAGAAAATGTTTTTTTGGTGGTTGTATAGTTCCAAAGCCGCACCTGAGCCCATCGAAAATATGAAAGTGTCCCAATCACAATATGTGATCAACTATTTGATTGCAAATCTATTATTTCTTTTTTTCAACAATGTTTCATAACAGAGAAAGACGTGCCAAACTTGGCTTCTTTTGCGGTTGTTTGACTTAGCCAGGCGGAAGGCAAAGGAATTTCAATAAAATTATTTTACTACTTTTTAAGAAAACTTGTTAGCGTTTAAATAAGATGATAATAAAAGCGGTATGAGTTTTCGTCATTAAGCAAATATGCACTTAAAGTACATGGCTTCTTATATGAAGGTATGATTGGCAGGGGATAGCGTCCTTCCATCCAGAGATGTGATATTCATACAGTCATTCAAATCTCAGATTATAGAGGAGTGTGTCAGTACTCTGAACTTAAGTGCTATGTGATAGTACTTCCCTGAGGTTTTTCTTTGGTTCATCGGCTAATCGATCCATCACAGCTCATGGCGATTGGAGAGAAAACTGCTATTTCATGGTGCACAATCGCGATTAAACGTTGAATTGCAAAGATCTCATAATAGCTTGTAATAAAACACACCTGATGGTCAGTCCGCTGAGTAGCTAAACTTGGCTATTAACTGAATCTTTAAGAAGAAAATTGGTCCGTTTTAGGGCTTTTTAATTAGTCAAAACTACGACTTTTCTCTAAAACTTCTCATATTTGTAACAAAATATAGTGTCATAAGATTCAATATGGTCAATAGGCTAATAGCCTATCATAATGCTCCGTGCATTTTCTAGATTCTATTCTACATACCTACGCTGATCGCCTTTAGTACCAGGACGGAAAGAGATAAATAGA